TATTATTGTATATTCATATAATAATGGAAAAACATACATAATTGCTCAATAAGGCAAAGTATATGTTATCCTGCCAATTGTGATTGCATTAAAAAAAATAGACAGTATAAAAAACTTTTAACATTCCTGACTTCTGTTGATATAAGAGAAAAAATAAATAAATAATAATAATATCTCACATACTTGCAAATAAAATGAAAAATGATAATAAAATAAGAGCAATTGAAACGAGGTACATACATTACGGTTAAATCACATCATTAGTTTGCATAAAGCGATTGTCCCATATGTGCCCGAAACAAGGACAAGAGTTGAAATACATGAGTAAACATATAGTACAACTTACATTTATTTCTTACGTATTTATTATATAAAATATTCTACTTTCTTTATATTTTATTTAAATTATTACATTATGTATTTAATTAAAAAATATAATTGTCTAACCATTTTTTTTTTTTTACAAATAAGGAGGCGAAAGCCTTAGCGACTATATTACGGGGATAAGAGACCTGGTTTACCCCGTGGGAGGGTCATCAAGGACGTGAAGTCCACTTGGCATTGTCGAGGCCAACGACGCAAGATAGTCGGCTGCAAAGTTCTCTTCTCGATGGATATGACGAACCTCTACTCTTCGTTCCTTACCACCAAGTTCGAATTTCTAAAATGATGCTACTGTGTGTCCTGGTCGGCACCACGTCATAGGGTTGCATCACAACCTTAACCACACTGCTATTATCTACTTATGCTTCAACCATACATGTCCCTTATCCCATGCCAAATTTAAACCATAGAATAGACCCCACAACTCTGCACCCATGATTGACAAAACTTAATATATATTTATCACGAAGCCGAACTTCCATCTGCCTCATTCGTCGCTTAATAAGCCTCCTGCCAAAGCCATTTCCGTTTGACTGTTAGAAGCACCGTCTGAGTTTATTTTAACAAAACCTGCTGGTGGTTTGGACCAAGACAGTCACCTTTGTGTTCTATTCATGCTCAACACTCATTTTTTTTTTTT